GTCATCTGCATGTAAGCCCACCAATTAACAGTAGATTTAATATTTTGTTCATAATTTTCTTTTATCTGATTTATGTGCTGTCCTCCGGTCCTGCAGCTGAGTAATAAGCAGATTTCTGCAGATAGCTTGAGGCTTTCACAGCAGTAACACTCATTGTCACGATAGAAAATCATTCATTTTATGCACCTGTAGTTACACACTAAAGTAACTTTGAGAGTGTTTGTGCCTCCAACAATGCAAAATGTAAATGCACTGACAACATAAATCCTTTTCAAATAAAAAACAGCAGCAGCAAGAAAAACCTACTGAGAAAGTACCAACGCAAAAAGGATGCTAAATATAACCCCTGTGTTTTTGTTGCATAAAAAGAACTCCGTTGCGCTTTGCCCTTGAAAATCTGAACATTCAGCTCTCTTCGCTGACCTCTAGACTGCTGTCAGAGATCGATGATTGCAGGTTGTCGTGGCCAGGGACAGAGAGCACTCATTCAGTATATTTTGGGATCTTACAGGACTGAACTGGCCACGTTTGTATGGTAGGTTTTGTCATCAGATGCTAGCCAGACGGCTGGAGCGAGTCATCTACATTCCAAGTTATAGTTAGCGGAGGAGACGGAGAAGACATTTTCATTCTATATGTCCTCTGGGTTCCCTGTCCATAGCCAGCAGCGCCGTGTGGGCCAAGCCACAGGGGGAGGGGGAGGAATGCCAATGATACCATCATTATCCTCTTAAAGTGGCACTGGGATACTTTTTTTTTTGTAAAAGTTCTCTTTTAGCAGCAAGAACAAAACCTTTCAAACTCACAATAATTAGGATGATGAAGAATCTTCCTGTGAGCAACTTTAAATATTATTGCAAGTGTTGTTTGCCATTGCATTGATGCACATTAGCAGTTGAGAGAAAAATAGACTAAATGTTAAGTTTTAGCATCCTACCAAACGTACAACACTGTGCAAAAGTCTTGAGCCACCCTCATTTCTTTGTATTTTGCTAGTAAAATGGGAAGTAGCTGCAGCCATTTAGAGAAACGCATGTAAACAGATGGAAATACAGCATATAAGATGAAAACAGAGTTTGTACATTTCTTAGCTTTAAAGTCAATATTTGTTATTACTACGTTTATTCTTCAACAAAGGCTGAACTCTCTTGTAATTTCTTTAAGTAGTCTTCTGGAATAGTTCTTCAGACTTCTTGAAGGACTTCCAAAGCTCTTTTTTGGATGTTGGCTGCCTTTTGTTCTGTTTTCTGTCTAGATGAACCCACACTGCTTCAGTAATGTTGTGGTTTAGGCTTGTGAGACCAACCTATGGGTTGATACATTGGTATTGTGTGTTTTTCTATCCAAGTGTGCATTTACTGCACTGGCAGTGAAGGCTTTGCTAATCAGACAAAAAAATCTGTGTCGAGATCTGATAGTACTTTTCTGTGTTCATCGTTTCATCATCGTGTTGCATTCAATATAAAATGTCGCCCCAAACCATGACAGAGCCTCCACTATGTTTCATAGATGGATATGAACACTCACCGTTTGTTATACCTCAGACTTTTCTCCCCATTTTGCTTCCCAAGCAATGGTTTCTTTAAAGCCATCCGTCCACTGAGACCATTTCTGATGAGGCTCCAGGGAATAATAAATGAATTAACTGAAGGGCCAGATGTATCTGTCAGGTCTTGGCTGGACTTGTCCTGCTTCTTAAGGACGCAACTTTTACTAAAAATCACAAAGTAGCATAACTTTTATTATGCTATGGAAGGAAAAACACAGGCATTAGTAATGAGACGAATGACAACACCTCTCGCTTTTACAGATCATTATGTTACATCTTTATATAACAGCCATGACTGTCTCTCCTCCTGCGTGGTCTTGTTCTTTTCCTAGAACATCTTTTGCACACACAGCCCCCACCCCACCCAAGCAACCATGTCCCACTCATGAACCCCAGCATCACATGACCCAATGTCCCAGACTGTGCTCTGTGTTTGTGTGTGCGCGTGACATGCATAACTCCTTATAACCTAAGATGAGCGACTCCTGTTGTTTTTGGTGCAGCAGCTTTTCCCCCCTGCTCTCACTGTGGATGTTCACAGTGTTTGTGTACATTCGGTGCACTGCTGCGTTTCCTTTTAAATTTCTCCTCTTTAATTAGATGCACATGTACATCAGCACTGCAGAGTGCACATAGTGTCCTGTCCTCATTCCTGTGTGTCTGTTTTGATGTCCTACTTTGTCCCAGTCATTTGGCCACCATGTGTCATGAAAAGGCCTGGTTAACGTTCCCAGAGTGCTGTAATTTCGTCTGAGAGGAATGTCAAGAATTCTGTGTGTGGTGTTGGGGTGGGACTCACGGAGGACCAAAGGCCTTTAGACACACATACACACACATAGCGAAACACATTGAGACCACAGTTGTGAGGACGTTTAACAGAGCTTATGTAAAAGTTGATTCACTAGAGAGATTTCTCTCCCGCTAGCAGGCTTTCCCCCCACAAGCTGACAGTGCACATTTACTTTTTAGAAAGTTAAGAGTAGAAAAATCTATTGCTGCGAGGTTGGAAAACTGTTAGTAATGACTGCCATACACAGGATTATCTCCATCTGTCCCCAGAGGGCATTTCATTTTGCATTATAGAGTGCTGCAAGAAGTGAACCAATTCATCATCAGATAGCACCACATGAACAGCATCAAAGCCTTGAGGGAAGCCCAAAGTGGGGCTTGCAAATCCGGGCCTGGCTTTAGCTAATTAATAACAGTTTACGGTAAAAGATCGGCATCGACATCTGACCTGCACGACCAGGGGCCCATTCACTCTGGTTTGCTTTGGTTAGTCGTTTGGTCTGTGGGCGAGTGCTGGTTCGAAACTGCTGCTGGCTGCCAGGAAGGCTTGTCAGCCCCTTGAATGACAGTTTACACACAGTTAGGCCAAAGGCAAGCCAGGGAGGTGGTGTACTACACAGGAATTGAATGAAATCCAAGCCAAAGAGGAATCCAACACAAGGAAGAATGATACTTCACATCAGGGCTGTGCTTTCTCTCACTCTCTCTGTCTGCTGCCATGCTTGATAATTCAGGGCCGTGATGTTTTTCTGGCAATATTTTTATTGCTTAAATTGCTGCTCTATCAAAGTGCCATTGAGGTTTCAGTGTCATTGTCTCAGTATGTACTGTAGACATGATACAAAGGTTATGAGCTGTTTGCTCAAAGTAAAACTAGTGCCCAGTCTGTGTTTAATTGCAGACATAGATAAAGAAAAGGTTCACTGACACAATTGTCTCTCTAATCAGGCTTTATTGGTTCCTCTTTTTTTTCTTTCTTTTTTTTACATCTTATAATGAGTCTTTTATTTCAACTGCTGAGCCTGCCGAGGCGGGAAAACTGTGTAGATAGGTGTGGGAACATGTTTTAATAGGGTTAGTTGGGCATGTGAGTTGAAAGTATAAGTTGGCAATTCTCGTCCTCCGGAAGCATTCTTGCATCGGGATTCTGTTTGATGAAACTTCTAACTCCTTGGCTACCTTTCCTCTTGCTGGTAAAAGTTTACCTGAGATACTCGGCAGGGATGCCTCCAGAATTTTTTCATAGTGGTGGCCAGAGATGGGCAGTAACGCGTTCCGCGTTACTGTAATCCGATTACTTTTTTCAAGTAACGAGTAAAGTAAGGGATTACTATTGCAAAAACGGTAATTAGATTACCGTTACTTTCCCATAGGAATGCTGCGTTACTGCGTTACTAAAACCGTGATTTTTTTGCGAGAATGTCTCATGACAGTGACGTAAGCGAGTGCGCTGTTAGTGACAACAGCTGTGTGCAGATCAACAATCCACATATCGATTGTGGGAGAGAGTATGAGCGTGCAGCGTTTAAAGCGTGGAAGTACTGACCTTACTTTGAGTTTGACTCCATAAAAAGTGACAAAAACATTAGTGTCCGCTGTGCGTGGGAAGAAAACTTCTTTTTACAGCGAAAAAAACCCCTAAACTTCCAAGCAAACACCGAGTAGCTACGACGTATGGAAACTCACAGAGAAACTCACGGCTTCTTCAACTGACCGCGGCACACCTGCACCAGGGTAAACCTCCGCCTTCCCTGCTCCTGCTTTACAGGTGAAAATAGAGCAAAAGGACCGCTGAGTCTTTGACTTTATTTATTTTCTGCTGTGTTTTACTTGCATCTATTTGAAAGAGTGAGTGTAAACACAAAAAATATTTTATTTTATGTGCTGGAATGTGCAGAAAATAGGTTTAAATGTTAAACTAATTTCTTCCAGTCAGAGAATATTGCATATAATTAAATTTTTGCTTGATGCATAAAGTTAAAAGATTAAAACTAATAAAACAAGTTAAAAAAAGAGACTTTTCCATTTGATTACATTTTGTATGATGGATTATGCAGAAAAAGTAGAATTGGGCTGAAAGATCTATCGCTTTATCACCTCTTCAGGTTGTAAATCGTGTTTTTAAAAAGTAACTAAGTAACTAAGTAATTAATTACTTTTGAAAATAAGTAATCAGTAAAGTAACGGGATTACTTTTTGGGGGAAGTAATCAGTAATTAGTTACTGATTACTTTTTCAAGTAACTTGACCAACACTGGTGGTGACCATATGAGGGCCACTAAAAATATTAGGATGGCAGAATTTCCAGTTTTATTATGCTGTTGTCAAATATAGGTTAAAAATAAAAGAAATATGGCAAAAAAAATAAAATAAAATAAAAATGTTTGTAATAGAATGTGAAAAATAACTTTTTTAAATTTCTATTTTAGGTTGTAGTCCTGCCACCCAGCAGGGGGCGCTGCAGCATTGTCACCCTTTCTTTTCTTTACTGTCCTGCTTGTGATTCCACAGCTGTGTTTTCTTCATCACTAACGTTGGTTGCTGTAGTGTTAAACTACACTGGGATGATTTTGATGACTGTCAGCTGCTTGTAGATGCAATGCATCACTGTCACTCATTTCATTCTCCCTTTGCTCATCCCGCTGTCCACCTGCATCCGCAGATGATGACGTGGATCTGGAGCAGCTGGTGAATGACATGAACTCCTCTATGGAGAGTGTGTACTCCACACAGACAGACACGGCGGTTCTTCTAAACAACGGCCACGCCCCTCACCACCACCATCAGGTGCACTCGTCCTACCTGGGACACAGCCGTCGCCACACCCCAGCCCTGCCCTCTTCTTCCCCCTCCAGAGAAAGGCTGAGACACTCTCAACCCATGCACATCAAAGCTGTCAGGTAAATGCTCATAACCTGGGCCTCTACATTGATCGCACTGGTTTATGTTCAAGATAAAGATAAAAAGATCGCTCTGCTACATCTGCAGAAATAAAGATATGAATAAAAGATAACGTAGCACTGCCAGCAAAAGAACACTCTGCTATTATATATCTGTCTGTCTGTGCCATTCTTGTAAACATGCTATCTCAGGAACACCTTGGACGAGTGATGACGTTTCATATCCCAAAGGTCAAAGGTCAGCTTCACCGTGAAATCAGTTTTCTGCAGAAACCTTTTTTTTTCTGGCCACTATTAAAGGCCATGATAAGGAACAGAAGGGGAGAGTGTGACCATGAATTAACTTCTGGTAACTCTGTAGTTGCAGTGATATTATATATTGCTTTTTTGTGTTGCCACATTTAAGATGTGTGTTGAACTTCTCTGTGGGTTTAATCAGAATCAGCTTTCCTGGCCACAGCATGTGTATACATACAAGAAAAGTGACTGCTTCTAATCACTGTCAGTGAACCTACGCACTAATGAAATAGAAGTTCAACAAAATAAGTCATAAATTAAAAAAACAAAACATCAACAACATAGACATCAAAGGTCTGAAGCGCAAACATCATCCACCGTCCTTACACCCTCAGCTGAGATGATGAGCATTTCTCATTTTCGGGATCTAAACTGCAGTCTGACTGCTTGTCCCACACAGTTTGCTCATGTTTTTACAAATCTGGCAGGTGCACCATGTGATCAGGCAACCGATCTGTCTCCAGTGTTCCCTCACTCTATTTCAGTTCCATCTCACCAGACCTTCAGATAGAGTAGACTCAATAAACACTTACACAGATTAACTGCACTCATACAGCGTGTTATTTCATTCACTTTAAGCCCTTTGGCACCCTCACATTGCCAGTTAACCTAAGATTCTTGTCTTTGGAATATGGGAGAAACATCCCGGCTGACCAGGACATTCATACCCAGAACCTGCTTGCTGTGAGGAGACAGTGCTGACCACTGCACCGCTGTGTTAAACAAGAGAGTGCGATACTCTGTAAAAATCCTATTTATTGCGTTCTCCAGCGTTTTAATGTTACTGTAACTGTATTTTGGGGTCGTCAGGGTATCTGCTTCCACAATTTCCAAAGAGTGGGACATAAATATGTACAAACCTAGAAATATTACAAATGTAATAGTTAGAAGCCGACAGATGATGAGAGGTTTAATGTAATTGACCGACGTTGACGTTAATAACAGCCGATAAGTTAAAATTACACACGTAAAGAAGAGACGACACCCTTCAACCATGTTACGAGTGTTGATGTTGCATATTTTACTCACCAGAGGGCACTGCAGTTTCCTTTTTGGCCACATGGCACAAACAAAAATGAGCTGATCCAAGCAGAGTCAGAGTAAACAAGGTTATAAATGAGTACACATAACAAATGTGTCTATTGAAAGAGATTAAAGGACTAGCATTAGCTAAAGGTAGTCACTTGCTTACATTAATCCCTGCCTGTCCAAGGTGCTTTGCAACCCACCCCCATCCCAGATCCTTCAGTTCAAGCTGTTTTTGCTTTTTCTGACCATCTCCATTGTTATTGTCAGCAGCTCTTGCAGTTCTTGCTACTGCTCTCTCTTCCTCAGGCTTTCGAGGCAAGTGGACAGCGGGGTAGGTCAGGCCGATGCAATGGAAACTCTACTGTATATAAATTACTGCAGATCTAATAAAGAGGCCCGACAGAGCTATAAGTCTATGCAATTTAATATTTTAACCATCTTCATGCAGAATAAAGGTTATAATGTGTTGAACATACTTGCACAATGAGTGTAAAGCAAGCTTGGAAACACAACAATTTAAAAGAAACGTGCAATAATTGGCAGCAAGTCTGAGCATTTGAGCATGATAAAGTTATTTTAAAGAGAAATGCTTGTTGTTTATTTAGACAGAAGTGGATTAATATCTAGGCCAGAGGCCGTCCAGTGGTCAGTGAGCACCGACTGTCTTCTTGCCCTTTTCCTCCACTGTTGACTCTGAACTTTAACAGAATATCCAGATCAGTGTGCCCTGTTTGAAAGTGTCATTATTCAGAGTGACACTGAACAGAGTGAGCCTGGGACAGCTTCTGCTAATCTGTGTGAATAAATTACAGTAGCTAGAATTTAAACTTTTTAAAAAGTTTAGTGGTCCAGTCAGAGTTCAGATTAACTTTTAAGCTGAAACCATGTTGATTTGTATTCCTTATTATACCCAAATGACACCCATAATCATGTGTATATATATCCTCCAGTGTTAGTCTCTCACTGGTAACCTGAGGCAGTGTCATGAATGTGTGTCTCCCTCTGCAGGAACCTGCAGGAAGAGCACCAGCTGCGTCCAGCCTCGCTGCCAGCCATCCCCAACCCTTTCCCTGAGCTCTGCAGCCTAACTGGATCCCCTATTCTGAGCCCCATACAGACCTCTGACAACTATGTAAGTTCACCTACACACACGCCACGTGCACCAGCACACAATCACTGAGAATGGTACAGCTGATTTGGTAGAGGCACAAGTGGTCAAGGGATTGGCTACATTTTTGTTGCCCATGTTAATTAGATCTTGCATTTGTGTTAGTGTGTGTTTTCAAACCAGCTGACTGGCCTGTTATGTGCGGGTCAGAGCAGCATGTGTTGACTTTGGCTGCGCACATCCTTTATCCATTACACCAGCCGGGGTTATCTGGCAGTACATGTGTGTTATTGTGGAATCATCATCAATCATATTTACACACGCATGCAGACATGTGACGGACATGTTTTGCTGTGGAAGAACGAGGTGAGCCGCGTCTCCAGGATGCTGCGGACAGAGTGCAGACTTCCCGTGGCAGAGCCAGGAATACGGCTGGGAACATCTGCAGGTCGGATCTCTCTGAACCTTCTGAATCCGTCTGCTGGCTCCGGCAAGACAGGCGCCCTTTTCCGGTTCACACGCTTCAACCTCGGCTCCTAGCGTCACTTCGAGAGAGTGTGTGTGTGTGTGTGTGTGTGTGTGTGTGCGTGCGTGTGTGTGTCACAGCCTTGCCCTTCCTTCCCCCTGCTGAGCCTCCTGTCCCAGGAATGTTCCATCCTCCTCAAAGATGTTTTCAGGATGCCCACCCTGAACAATAAAAGTTATTTTAGATGCTTATTCACTCGCTCGCTTTCTTTACATACACACGCACACTTTTTTTGTGTGTTGTTAACGCAGTTATACACACACAGGTGGCATTATTCAGTTCACACACGCACAGAGACATGTGATAAGCCAAAGCATTATTTTTGCATTTCGTTGACATCAACTCACAAGGTCTGGAGTCAGAGAGCAAGTTTGCAGTTTGTACAAAGGATCTTTTGTGTGCGCGGTCGAGTCTGTGAGAGCTGACTAAACATTGCTTCATTTCTCTTTCCCAGATCATCTTCATTTCGTCCACAGTTCTTGTTCGTTCAGCGAGCCAAATAACCAGCCAGTAGCAGTTACGTTTCTATTTTTCTCTTATCTCACGCGGCTTTAACTTGTGTTTTCTGTCCAGTTATTCATACAGATAATGGCTGAGGCTTGGCACCATTTTCATTCGTCCTTGTGTCATTTTTCATTGCTCGTGACAACTTTAGAGCAGGCCGGACATTCTTTAACAGTGTTTAAATGCACAAAAACAGGATGGCGGTAGTATTTCTGTTTAGGCGATAGAGCTTGTGGAAGGAGTAAAAAGCACGTGGAAAAATCACCTCTAACATTCCACCATGTTTATCATAGTCAGCAAAAGCATTTTGTCCAAAGGAGAAGAGGAGGTGGCTGTGAGACTGATAAATGTGTGGCTGAGGGTGATGGGGATCATGGGAACTGGACACCACCCATGTAAAGAAACATCTCCACTGATTGTCAGCAATGATTCATTAATAAATAACTGGGATGGCTGTGTCAGGCGGGTGGATGGCCATGGAGTTTAGCCAGCCAACTTCTTGACTTTGGCTTTTACCTCTTTGGTTTGGGGTCTCATAGCTGGTGCTTGCAAAAAAGTCCAGAATTATTTTTTTAAGCAATTTTAATCATGTTTTCAATCGTAGGAGTCTAAGCAATAGATATAGTTCAGTTTTCAAGAGGTTTACAGCAGCAGCCTTCTGACAACATGTTCAATCCTCCCAACCAGCTATTTGGTTTAACTCCACTCTTAACGCTTGTTGTAAATACTTTTTGGAAACTGGCGCCATCGAAGGACTATTCCTTGCTAAACTGCTAAATCCCCATTCATGCAGGCTTAGAGACCTGCCTGAATGGGTGTTTGCTGGCTGTTGTCAGTGTGAAACTGGTTACAGAGAGGTGTCCTACACAGAAACCGTCCTTCTGCTAGCAAACAAATTAATCACAAGGAAGTTTTGGGTGTGACTAATAACCAGCAACCACACACCAGCTGGTCAGGAAATACACATTTTTTTCTAATTACTGCATATTACCAGGTTAGTCTCCAAACCATAATCGACTGAGGTCCTAATCAACCAATCATCAAAGTGCTAAAGTTTTATGGACAAAATTGAAATCCCTGAAAGAGAAATGCAGGAAAACTGATATTATATCAAGTCCAGTCACGGGTCTCAGTCAAGCAACTCCACAGCCACACGTGGCTCGTTTGCTCACCTCCATGCTACCTGGCTTAGAGAAAAAGAGATTACAAATGTGATGAATATAAAAATGGGGGGAAAAAACTTATTTTTATTCATGATTCTTCAAAATAATTAATCAGTTGTTAAAGAAAAAATAATAATTTTAATATAGTTCTAATATCTGTGTCATAGCTTGCGTGTGTCATCTGACACCATAAACTCTACATTTTGCTGAACCTCAGTTGTGCGTCTAGCATGTAGGTAAACACATGAGGACTAGTCAGGATTCCAAAATCTTATTTGAAACTGACTAACAAGTTCTAGCGGTATGTCTGTGAAGGTTCTCAGAGCGGCTTTTGGTGTAGCCTTTTGGTGTAGCCTGTAGATCCTTTTTTGTTTTGGGTGTTGACCTTCTAGAACATATAATTAATAATAATCTTTGTGTAAACTTAACTAGGGCTTAAGTAATCATTTGAGCAGTTTAGTTTAAATTTGTCAGTACTTGATTAAGTACAGACAAATATGACTTTGGCTCATTACTAAATACCTGCAAAAGTCATGTAACTTGCTGTTACTTGTAACCAGCGTGCTTCATACTGATCATAATGCCGATAAACAAACTGGTGAATGCGTTAATCCTTATTTTTCTAAATGTCTGTGTTAGCTTTGTTGCTGAGCACAGTAGAGAGGGCAAGGCTGATGTTAGCATTTAGCTCCAAGCACTGCCGTTCCTGAGTACACTCTCACAGAGCTGCAGGCATGTCTGTGGGCTGCTTATTTACTAATTTGTTGAGTGTGTAAGATCTTCCTAAACCAGCCTCCTATTGATTGGGCTGCTTTGGGGCATGCCTTTTGAAACATTGTACACTTTAATGGATTCTAATGCTCTAAAATGAGCTTTTTCTAAATCAAAGTAAGTAAAACGTCCACTGATCAAATTCCTTAAATTCAGCAAATTTAGGGTTAGACTGTCTACAGCATGGCCTTTCAGGCTTTCACTGTATCTAAGATAACAGAAAGTTAGCGAGTTTAAATTTTACTGGCGCTGGAGCAAATATGTGCATTGATGTGTGCAGATCAGGTGAATTTATTTAAGCCTGAGGAGTGCTGAGTATGACTTACACAACAATGCAGATGGGACCGTCACACATGCGTGCGTTGGTCTGCAGACATACTTGCATTGTATTTGCATTGGCAAAGGTTTATCGGAGGATCTCGCTCCCTCCAGCTGTAGAGTTGGAATCTGGACATTCTTCACTGAGCTTCGGTTTTTCTCAAAGCAATATGCTGCTCACATTGTGAGCCAAGTAGAGCAGTGTCCTCGTAGAATCATAAGCAGGCTGGAAATATAAAAAACTAACATGATGCTGCATCTCCATCAGATTTGTGAAACTTTCTTTCAGTGGTCTGATTCTGCTCAATAGTGGACTGGATAATGGCCATTTCCCACGCATGTTGTTGCAGTATTACACCATAGAATTCAGTCATGTTCCCCTGGCTTTCACAAGGATTTGGTCAGGTTTTGTCTGTCATTGCTGGGCAAATGAGTTTGCTTTGGCACCGCGACCATGGCTGCAATGCAACTTGTGCTTTTATTTGTGGCCAGAGAGAGCATTACGAACATCAGTGACAGCAGGGAGCCCCGGTAGTTATAGAGACCAATCTCTCAGCCTCAACCAAAGCACCGAAGCCCCATGTGTTGGCTAACCTCCATTCTTTTGAAGTAGTTAGTGAGCAAGACACCGAACCCTTTTCAGTGACCTTGACCTCTGACCTCTTCTGGAAAGATTTAAGAGAAAAGAGGGTTTTAATTTAAAAAAAGGATGTGAAAAACCCCTTTTTCTCATGGTTTGTTGTTCAGCACATGGTTTCATTATTGAAATGTTTGATGCTTGCAAAATATTTCAAAGGTTAAAGCTGATTATGTACAAAGAGGAATCATACTTGGCTGCGGTCTACGGTCTTTAGCTGTGCCAGCGGCAGGACTCTAGGGATGATTTTTCAGCAGTGTTGCCACCACTTCGGTCCAGACTCAGAAATCAAAACAACTTCTCAGAGGGTGAAATCTGATGGCTTTGTATCTCTGCGTTGGCTTAATTTAGTCATTTAAGATTAGACCATCCTAAAATAAGAGTTACTTATTGGGGCATAGCAAATTAAACACACTGTAATGGCTAGTTTTGGCGAGTCCTTAATTGAAACATTAAACAAGAATTTAAGGATTCAGATTCTGTTACTGATATCACTTATTGATTCCTTATTGATTCTCACTGGGTTCTCATTGGCTTTGAGAGTCACCACCATTGATAAACAGCATATCAAAGACATTACATTCATGCAGATTTATTGATTGCATTGTGGTCAAATCTTTGTGCATGTTGGAGGTATTTCCCCTCTTCGTTGTGATCATTTTGTGGTCGTTACTCAAAAAAAGTAATTATTACCCTGAACACTTTTCTTAGAAGTAATGCATTACATTACTTGCTATAATACTTGTTACATTACTTTCATGTTACTTTGTAAAATAGCTGAAACACAATGTCTTAGAACTACCATTTAACAGTTTAAACCTGAGGCTAGAGTCCTACACACCAACACAAATCCCTATTCTAATGAGAACACACGTGGTCTTTCTCTTAGTATTACATATGAACACAAAGCCAACAACACAAAAAGACTTCAAAGTGATCTCCACAGTGATTTCACTTTGAACAGGTAGAAACAGAGGCTGCAGCCTGACTGCTCAGGCTGTGGCTGCTGGGCCGGGGTCGGCGTTGACTCGGCGTGTTAACGTCACTCTTGGTTCTTGGCTAGCTTAGCGTTAGCAAAAAAGCTGAAGTTGTGTTAGCAACATAA